CATAGAATCGCTTTCTGAGTCGATTTGGTGAATATCGGTTCAGATATAGATAAAGTTCTTATATACATGTTTCATTCGATTTGGTGTTTTAGTCTCTCACATTCGTAATATGCACTCCACAAGAATGATCTTTGGTAGCAGATATCAGATAGAGTTCAGAAATAAGTGCCTACATTTTTTTCAAGATAGGTTCAGATTTGGATATAGCTTCCGGAAAAAGATATATATATCCGAATTTTGGTTTATTGTGCACCAAATGGCTAACTTTAGCTCATATGAACTGAATTTCGGTACTTCCGCCAAATTTTATCGAGATCGGTTTAGATTTTTATATAACTTCGAAATACACCTTCATCCGATTTTACAGTTATTGTCCACCATTTATGTAATATCAACCCAAATTGGATAGATTTTGTTCATATTCAACCGAATTTATCAATTTGGTGAAACTCGGTCCGGTATAGCTATTACTCCAATAAATATTTCTTAGTATAATTCTTATCGGAGTCATATCATGCACTATACTGTTAAAGTTATTTGGTATTAGAGGTAAAAAAGCCTCCGTCATATTTATTGAAAATCGATTCAGAGTTGAATCTAGTTCCCAAATTGTGACTACTGTAAAGCTATGATAAGCATTTAAGTAAGGTTCATAGTTGGTACGATATACTTAAAATAAATTCCCAATATAAACTTTTTTTGTTATGGGAGCTTTACAAAATACGTACAGTGGTTTAGGGTATTATATAGTCGGCATTTGACCTTTCTTTACTGTTTTTTTCTACCGACGTTTTGGAAGAGGGGACAACTGCCTTCATCTCCCTTTCGTCCACAATTTCAGAAATTTTCAGATTACGATTCTTTGGAATCCGTTCATTCAAGGTTTATACAGATAGCAATATGAGGATTATTTTAGGAAAAAAATTACCTTTAAGCAAGTCGACGAGGGGTCTTTTTGGTCCATTTTATACCCTATTGAGGGTATATTAATTTTGTCATTCCGTTTGTAACTCCTCGAAATACTCATGTCAGACCCAACAAAGTATATATATTCCTGATCAGCGTAAAATTCTAAGTCTAAGTCGATTTAGCGATGTCCGTCTGTCTATCTGTTGTAATCACGCTATGGCTAGAAAATTGTTTGTGCACGTCTTCGTATAGCCCTCATATAACGGTACCCTCCTATATTCGGTATTTTGGTGATTTTAGTGACATTATTAAACGGAATTGTTTAAAATTTGGGATTTGAAGTTCGCAATGGATACTACAGCCTAAGACTTAAAATTGTCTGTGCAGGTCCACGTCTTCGTAGAGCCCCCATATACCTATATTCGTACCTTCCTATATTCGGCATTTTGGTGATTTTAGGGTCATTATTCACCGGATTTTTTTTTAAAGTACGCATTTAGAGTTAGTAATGGAAACTACCATCTGTGACAGAAAACTGTCTGTGCAGGTCCAGGTCTTCGTATAGACCCCATATACCAGTACCTCCCTATATTCGGTATTTTGACGAGTTAAAGTACAATACTCACCGAAATTGTTTGAAATGTTGTATTTGAATTTCGTAGCCTATGACAGAAAATTGTCTATGCTGGTCCAGGTCTTTGCACAGCTCCGATATAACGGTACCTCCATATATACGATATTTTGATGATTTTAGCTTCATTATTCACCGATTATATCAAGTTCCGAATTGGAATTTGGTAATGACTTAGGACAAACAATGCCTGTGTGGGTCCACGTCATATAGACACCAATACAAAAGCTATATTCGGTATTTTTAAAATTTGAACAGAATTTTTTAAGGATTTTATTACCAAACTCGTTCCAAATGGTGGAGGGTATTCAAAGTTTGGTCCGGCCGAACTTACTGCTTTTTAACTTGTTTTTTTCAAAAATATGGTTATAAACTCCATTTAAACGCATCTATAAGTGATCCACAATTCGTACTTTTTCGAACAATTATAGAACATTTGCAAAAATGTCAGGATTCCACCCCTATAGCTTCGCCAAAATTTTAACAAATTAGTACCATGGTGTATACATAAGTACATATTTCGAAAACTACCTCCATATCCAAATTTCTAAACTACCAACATCTTACGATCCAATGGGAATCTTATTTCCAAATTCAGGAATTCAAAATTTGAATTTTACCGAATTTAGTACTATTTAATAAAAATGAGTACGAATTTCCACAACTTCCTACATACCTCAGTCCTACACTTCCCCTGTAAACCCAAATCCAAAGTTCAGAACTCCATCCTTATCAGTTCGCCTAAATACAAATTTACCAAACTTAGTACCATATAGTGCAGGTAAGTACGAATTTCCAAAACGTGTTGTAAGTAATCTTATTTCCAATTTTCAGGAGACCAGCTCTATTGGTTCATCCAAACTGTAGCAAATTGAGTAGCATTTACTACACTTAGGTACAAATTTTTAAAGCTACCAAATTAAGTATCATTTATTACACATAAATACGAATTTCCATGACTACGTATTTCAAAGGATTGAATAGAAATCTTATTTCCCATTTCAGGATTCCAACTCTACAGGTTATCCCAAAATTTTTATTGTACCGATTTTAGTACACATAAGTGCGAATTTCCAAATCTACATACATTCCGTTAGTCCTACAATGTAATAGCAATCTTCTTTGCGAATTTCAGTATTCCAGCTCTATCCGATCACCCAAATCGTAATTGTAGCAAATTTAGTACTTTTTTTACATCTATATCCTACACCCCGCCAGGTTTCCAGTTTCTATAAATTGTACCAAATTTAGTACCTTTTAGTACTTTTCGTATACACGAGTACTCATTTCTAAAGCTACCTTCTTACATCGACCCTACTCCTCAACCTTGTTTCCCATTCCAAACATTCAAATTTTTTAGCTCTACCCGTTCTCATGATTCGAAATGGTACCAAATTTGTACATTTTAGTATTTTTCGTACACTTATAGTGCGAATTTCCCTTTTAAACCTTATGGTATATCCATCATACACTTCGTCAGTGAATCGCATTTCAAATGTAAGAGTTCTACTTGTACTGGGTCGCAGATATATATCATCTTCACAACACATCTTGGGTAAGCAGAAATGTTTGTCAAATTTGAAGAGAGTTGGATGTTTTTTTCGCTCTTTTGAGCGTTTTCTTTTTCAAAATCTTGAGCCCTCTACCATCATTATAACAAATCGTATATTCATAGAAATATTGAGATGTACCAATACTGAATTCTGTTAATTTCGCGTTTTGCGGCTTTCATGAATATTCAAAATTTTCACCCAGAAGGAGTAGACCGATATATCCCATCTTCAAAGCAGATCTTGTGTTAATAGAAGTAACGGGATATGTGTAATTTGAAGAGAAACGAAGAACGGATTATTTCGGATTTTATGATAGCTTTTGTTATTTAAGACTTTGACCATTTGTGGGGGAGGTACAAGAAGGAAAGTATATATATTCATAATCAGCATAAGATTCTAAGTCGATTTAACGATGTCCGTCTGTCTGTGCGTCTGTCTGTTGAAATCACGATACAGCCCACATTAATTGACATAGCGCGCCAAAATTTAGCAGGGCAATTTGTATAGTGTCTAGGATCGTTGGTATTGAAAATGAGATATATCGGTCCACGTTTTGGTATAGTCTTCATATAACGGTACCTCCCGATATTCGGTATTTTGATGATTTATGCCACAATTGTCTGAAAATTGGTATTTATAGGTCATAACGGGTCCTAGTTCGTGTGGCGAGATATTGCATGTATAGGTCCACGCTTTGGTATAGCCCCCATATAAAGGTACCCCCCGATATTCGGTATTTTGCCGATATTGCCCATTTTCGCACCTGACCTAGCACTGATGCAAATAGTAGGATTTACCAAGTTAGGGCAAAATCGGATCATCTTTTCCCTTTCTGTGCAGTCAAATATATATATATTTTTTGAAAATTTCAACCTTTCGAAATGATATATACCCTCTCGAGCCATATGGCTGGGGGCATAATTCTGCGGCTAATCAAGAATATGTATATTTGTGTGGTCTAAAATCCTTATTTCGAGTAGTGACAAACAAAATGACAATTTTAATACACCTTTTATAGCTTGGAGGAGGGTCTCCGTTCTCCATTAGATACGGAAGTCAGGGTTCTAGTGTAGTTGGCTGTGTCCTGATTTCCCTCTAAACCTTTTGGAATGTTTTTTGGTGATCTGTATCGCAAATAAATAGATGTAAAAACCACTGAAAGTTTCATTTAAAAATATACGTTTTTTTTTATTAATAATATTCATATATACATTTAAAACATATTTTTTTAAACATAGAAATAAATTATTATATTTGAATGTATGTATATCAGTAAATAATAGTTTTGAAGTACCTTCAAGGTTCGGCTTACCTAGCAATCCATTTACATTCTGGTATTTACAATTAACATTAAATAAAATTTGAACTAATTTAACAATAGTAACAATATTTCTATTAAATGTTAAATTTAAAAAATATCATCTTATTTTATTTTAACAATATATAAAAATATTTCAAGAAATATATTTATTTTTGCTACATCCACCTTAATGTAAAATTCTGACAAGAAGTCCTTCAGCCGTTGTGTGGGGGGGGGGGTATGTACATTTTCTCAAGTCTGTAAAGAGTGTATATAGTGTTTCCTTTTTTTAAAAATCTAATTAAAATTTTATTTTTACAAAATCCATTTAAAATTAATTTTTTTTTTTAAGAAAAATATTCATACATTTTAAGGTCCTTGGGAAACCAAAGTTGTTGTTGACTTTACATTCCTGATTAATTTACTTTTAAATAATTTTAATTTCAACGATTTATCGTTGTTTGTTTTTTTTTTTTGTAGAAAATATTCGATGTAATTTTATTACCTCAAAAACAAAAACTTTTAAATATCTCACTACCAGACTGTCAATCAGTCACCATTGAAATTCCTTAATTTTATTTTTTTTTATGTTTTTTTTTTTTTTTTTTAAATAAATAATTTGTCCTTAGATTTACGATTCTACAGCATTATTGTCCTCATCACATGAAATATAACGTATCTTCAATTTCTTCCTCTCCAGGCCATTGTGCACGGAGATTGAAAGCGGCGACTCTTCACCGGTCTTCGCCAGCTTCTCGGTGGCCAATATACTATTCCGATGTAACATCACGCCACATGTATTTCCCATGTGATTCACTACTGAATTTTTTTGATCCGGCAACGATGAGTTGGCCACCTGTATTTGCGTCTCAATGGTGCTGCGTTTCCAATAGGGTTTATTTTCATCTGAAAAATGAGAAGAGAATACATTAAAAAAGAAACTAAGTGAAACCCAAATCGATTGGAAAATGCGGTCAAGGCCCTTGAAATGTCGAAAATTAAGATGTATATTTTTGAGGCCTCTACCAAACCCTTGATCTACAGTTACAAACTACAAATTTTTACACAGACCTAAAACAGCAAAATTTTGCCGATATTAAGTGGAAAATGTGACTACATAAAATCTAAAAGGATACTTGACATCGAAATTTGACCCTTATATATAGGTTATGTCAAAAATGATTGAATTAAGTGATCTAGAACGTTCTATTAAATTACAAAGCTCTATATTAAATCTGGCCAAAGATAACTCCAAAAAGTGGAGTCCCTTTGTGTATGGTTAAGGCTATATTAAAACCCTCAACATTTTGGAACCAAAACTCTTGTGGAGTTTGGATTTACAAACCGAATACTATCAAATCTAGAAGGCTATATTAAAACCCTTAACATTTTGGAACCAAAACTCTTGTGGAGTTTGGATTTACAAACCGAATACTATCAAATCTAGAAATATCAGTGACCTCAACTCCAGAATTTCAGCTCTATCTCTTTACCCAATACCAAGTTTAGTAACATTTAGTACGCACAGTAACATTTAGTACGTAGTAAAACAATCTACAACCATCAGATCTCAAAACCAAATACCAACAGAGACCTCAGTATCAAAGTTCGGAATTCCAGCTCTATCCCTATCTCTTCACCCAATATCTAATTTAGTACCTCTATATATAATATAGCTATAATACACATTTCCAAAACCCCCTCCATATTGTAACCACTGACACAAACAGTGACATCTATATACAATTTCAGGATTTCAGCTCTATTCCTTCACCCAATACCAAATTTAGTACTATTCAGTACTTTTCGTACAATTACAGCATACATTTGCAAAGTCACCTCTTAATTCCATATACCGTCAGAGATCCCAATATCAAATTTGAGGATTCCGGCCCTATCTCTTCACCCAATATTAAAATTTAGTACAATTTCGTACTTTTCGTACAAATATAGGACGCATTTCCAAACCACACCAAATCCCATCCACAAAACAGATACCATCAGTAATCTAAATATCAAATTTCAGAATAAAATCTTTATTACTTCACCCAATACCAAATATAGAACCATTCAGTACTTTTTGTACAATTATAGTACACATTTTCGAAACGAAGTTCATATGTGCAGGCTGCCCATGAATTGCAATCCTAATACCAAATTTCAGATTTCAAGCACTATCTGTTCATCTAATACTAAAATGTTCAAATTTCGTACTATTTGGCAATTATTCATGCACAATATCAAAATTAAGTATTTCAGCTCTATTTCTTTACCCAATATCAAATTTAGTACTATTTAGGGTTTTTCGTACAATTATAGTACGTATTTCCACAACCACCTCTTTATCACAAACCTAACACCAATGGGGACCCAAATACAACATTTCAAAATTCCACCTTTATCCTTTCACATAATACCAAATATTCACATAATACCAAATGATACCATTTGAAAATTAAGTACCACTTTAGACCTTTTTGTAACCTCAAAGTTCGTATTTCCACAAACCCTTTGATATATCTGCACTCCGTCAGTGACTTATTTCAAATTTCGTTACTCATTTCGTTTGAATTCCAGCTGATTCCGTTTGTCCAATAAAATGTATTCTATTTGTAGTACGTTTTAGTACTTTTCGTACTCTTTTAGTACGAATTTCCAAAAATTAAGCCTAATCAGATGCCTACACACCAAGTCTGATTCTCGTGCAAAATATCCTTCGTTTCGTTTTTGTGTTGATTATCAGTCAGTTATTTCACTTATATATATACAGATATGTACGAATTTCCAAACTTCCTGCATACACCAATGTTATACTCAAAATTTCCAAAACTACTTCCATACCTCAATCATACAATCCCATAGAAATGATATTTCAAAATTTAAGAACACCAGCTCTATTGACCACAGTTCGAATCCGTACAAATTTTAGTACCATTTAGTACACATAAGTACACATTTCCAAAAAAACTTCCTACCCACTCCAATCCTACACTCCCACAGTAATCCCAATTTCAAAGTTCAGCATTTCATCCTTATCGGTTCGCCTAAATACAAATTGCGGCAAATTTAGTACCATATAGTAGAGATAAGTATGAATTTCCAAAACTTCCTACATAACCCAATCCTAAACTCCAACAGCAATCTTCATTCCAAATTTCAAGGTACCAGCTTTATTGGTTCACCCAAATCCAAATTTTATCAAATTTAGTACCATTTAGTACACTTAAGTACAAATTTTCATAACTACGTATATCATAGAGACCAGTAGAAATCATATATTCAAATTTCAGGATTACAATTCTACCGGTTCACACAAAATTCAAAATTGTACCAATTTAGTACACATAAGTATGAATTTCAAAAACTACCTACATAACTCTGCCCTACAATGCAATAGAAATCTTATTACCAAATTTCACCATACCAACTCTATTGGCTTCCCCAAAATTTATATTGTACTAAATTTAGTATCATTTAGTACTCATCGTCCACATAAGTACAAATTTTGAAAACTTCCTATATATACCAATCATACACTCCACCAGTAAAGTTAATTTCAAATTTCAGGATTCCAGATCCATCCGTTAATCCAAATTCGAATTGTACTAAATTTTGTACCATTTAATACTTTTCATTTACATAAATACACACTTCCAAAACTACCTCTTTACATCAACCCTACTCCTCAACCTCGATTCACCCTTCACATGACACAAAATAGTACCAAATATAGAACATTTTACTACTTTTCGTACACTTACAGGGTGAATTCAAAAAAAAAAAAATAACTCTTGGCGCATTCATCATGCATACATCATCATACGTACATATATTATCATCATTGTTCGTCAGATACAAATACAAATATGGTACCCATATTTAGCACCCTTTTGTCCTTTTCATACCGTTCTTGTACGAATTTCCAAAAACCCCAGCCATATCTGACACCTTCGGACCCTTATCCAAAATTTCAAGATTCTAGCTTCAGTCGTTTCGTTTGGGTGTTGATAAATCTTTAATTAGGTCCGTCAATTACCTTACTCTTTTCTTAATATAGATTTTAGGTAGTTCCTAAAAGTATGCTATAAAAATGCTAAATATAAATGTAAACCAGTAAGGAAAAGTCACAATGCATATTTAGTAGAGCTCACATAAGAAAAGAATTAATTGAAGTAGATCATACCTCCTAGCAACATTTGGCTTTATAGCAGTTATAATTTGGTTCCAGGGGAAGAATATATGGGAGTTAAATCCAATTCTGAATCGATTATCACTAAGTTTGATGGACACATTTTAATCTTTTACACCAACTAACATTGCTATAGAGTACATGATATCACTTCGAGAAGGATTATATTAACAACAAGTAAAAAAGCTGTAATTCTATTAAAATCTTAAAAATACCGAATGTAGCTATTATATTAGGGTCTATACGACGACATGAACCTGCGTAGGTAACATTTGTCATAAGCCATTACAATATTCAACTGCGAAACTTAAAAAAAATCGGGTATAATGTCGATAAAATCAAAACATCGAATATCGTGAAGTACCGTTATATGGGGGCTTTACGTACAGGTGGACCTGCACAGACAATTTGCTGTCTTAGGCTGTAGCATCCATTACGAACTTTAAATACCAAATTTGAAACAATTCCGGCGAATAAATTCGCTAACATCATCAAAATGCCGAAAAGGGGGAGGTACCGTTATATGGGGGCTTTACGGAGAGGTGGACCTGCACAGACAAATTGCTGTCTTAGACTGTAGCATCCATTACGAACTTTAAATACCAAATTTGAAACAATTCCAGCGAATAAATTCGCTAACATCATCAAAATACCGAAAATGGGGAGGTACCGTTATATGGGGGCTACACGAAGACGTAGACCTGCACAGACAATTTTCTGTCATAGGCTGTAGTATCCATTGCGAACTTCAAATACCAAATTTGAAACAATTCTGGTGAAAAAATGTCGCTAAAATCATCAAAATACCGAATATCGGGAGGTACCGTTATATGGGCACTACACGAAGACGTGGACCTGCACAGACAATTTTCTGTCATAGGCTGTAGTACCCATTGCGAACTTCAAATACCAAATTTGAAATAATTCTGGTGAAAAAATGCTCATAAAATCATTAAAATACCAAACATCGGGAGGTACCGTTATATGGAGGCTATGCCAAAACGTGGACCTACATGGCCAATTTTCAATACCAAAAGTCCTGCAGACATAACATACATTTGAGCAAAATTTTATCAATCTACTTCAATTCGTTCGGAAGCTAGAGTGATTTCCACAGACGGATAGACGGACAGACATCATGGACCTATACATACAATGTTTCGCCACACAAGCTAGAACCTATTATAACCTACAAATACCGATTTTGAAAGGTATTTGAAAAAAAGGCAGCAAATGGACAAATCCGTGAAAAAATGTGGCAAATATCATCAAAATACCCGAAATTCACTGCATTTGGACTCAAATCAGCCAATAATGGTATGGGAGCGATATCCAAATCTGCTGCGATCTCGATAAAATTTGGCAAATGCATTTCAGAGCACTATAAGATATCTGGTAGCAAATATCATTGTTGTCGAATGCATATTACGAATGTGAGGGACTTAAACACCAAATCGAATGAAACCTGTATATGGGAGCTATAGCTATATCTGAACCGATTTTCACCAAATTTTATGTACTTGCTTCTAGACTGAATTCGGTCGGATGTACCAAAATTCAGAACGTTTGGACATATATTTGCCATTTGGTGAACAATTAACCCGAAATCGGTTGGAGATATATATGAGAGCTATATTCAAATCTGATGAAACATATCTCAATCGATTTTCTACAAATTTGATATAGGTGCCTCTAGACTGAATTCGGTCGGATGTGCCATAATGTAGGCCATTTGGAGTGATATTGACCATTTGGTGATATTGGCCGAAATCGATTGAAGATATATATGAGAGCTATATTTAAATTTCAACCGATTTTCACCAATTTCAATAGGGTTCGTTCTTGAGTAAAACAAGTATTGTTTGCAAAATTCCATCTCGATCGGAAAATAAATGTGACCTGAATTTTGTTCATAAAAATACATGGGCAGATGGACTGTTGCATGCCAGTCAACTCAGAAAGTGATTCTATAAATATCCTCAAAAGTCTATCTTGCTTCCTTCTCCATGTTACAAACAAATGCACAAAGACATAACACCCTTATCACTATGTGGTGTAGTGTATAAATATGTCTGTAAATGCAAAAATCTGGTATTCGGGGGAATGCATCACCAAATTTCAAACAATTCTGTCAAAAAATTCGGGAGGAGAGGGACCTATCCTCATGAAATCCTTGGAATAAGAATCCAAAAGCCAACCTTTCCATTGATGAAGAAATCCAATTTTCTTCTCAACAACCCATCACCTGTTCGTTCACATACTTACTTTTCATTCTCGATCCATGATTATTCGAACTATTTTTGTTCAGTGTCATGCGACTTCGCGGCGAATGAATTTGTATTGCAGCAGCATTGAAGAAAAGGCAGCAAATGGCTTTTTGGAAATACATTCGAAATCTGAAACAAAAAAAAAAATCGAAAATAAAAACCTGTTAATTTCCGTTTTACCGTATTTTGAAAATTGCATATCTAAACACATTTCCAACTTACCGTTTATTCATCCAATAGTAAATAATTGGATTGACCATGGCATTGGACATGGCCAGCCAATAGAAGCCCAAATACATGTGCTGGACATATTTCGCTGACGTGACTTGGTTATTGTGATAGGCATAGATGAAGAACAGGTGGTAGGGCAGCCAGCAGATGGCAAATATGGAAACAATGGCGATAAACATGCGGACCACTTTGCGTTTCGATTTCATCGATTCCATTTGACGTTCGGTGGTCTCGCCAATGGACCGGCTGCCCCATAAAACACGGCCCATTAGTGTGTAACAGATTAGCATTACAATCATCGGTATGCCATAGGTGATAACCAGAATGATGATGTTGTACCTGTGTGTGTATGTGAGAGAGAGAGAGAAAATGGAATAAAGGATTCGATTGTTATTGACACTTCTCAGGTTGTGTTTGTATTTGTGTTGCTTATTTGCAAATATTGAATTACAAAGTAGAGTTGTTTGTGTGTGTGTGTGTGGGCGTGTGTTCTGTATACGATTACTTACACATAATCCAAAATAGATGTTGGATATCTTCCATCCGGCCAGAGCATATAGCACACCGTTCTCTGTTTGCCATTGTAATACCTGCCGAAATAAACCAGAATGAAAATGTTGTGAAATTAATCCGTCTGTTTGTCGGAAATCAATATTGTATTTCATTGTTAATTGGAAAGAATGGTGGTGGTGGTGGTGGTGGTGGTGGTGGTGGTGGTGGTGGTTGGGTATGTCGTTCGTTCGTTCGGATTTGTGGCAGTAGTTGTTTGTCAAATATTCATTTCCCTTCTCATTGTCCATTGCTTTGGTAATCACAAAATGGTGAATTGGGGCAAATATTTACCATAACACCATAATTTGGGAAATATTTGAATTTTGATCCGTTAATGTGCCTAGCAGGATTAGTTAATGGTTATTTCTGTAATCAGATTCGTAAAATATTTTAAGTTTCTGTCGGTGATCCGGTAATTGATTCATTAACGCCCAGACGAAACGGAAGCTAGAATCTTGAAATTTTGGGTGAGGGTCACTTTTGGCGAGGATAAGTTGTAGGTTATTTCAGTAATCAGATTCGTACAATATTTCAAGTTTCTGTCTGTGATCCGGTAATTGATTCATTAACGCCCAGACGAAACGGAAGCTAGAAATTTTGGGTGAGGGTCACTTTTGGTTCGAAAGTGTCAGATAAGGCTGGGTTTTTAGAACTTCGTACTAAAACGGTACGAAAAGTATTAAAGCCTACTAAATAAGGTACCCTTTGTATTTGAGGAAGCAGCAGAGCTAGAACTCTTTAATTTAGAATGAGGGTCACCGATGGAGTGTATGATAGATGTTTTTGGAAATTCGACCTATAAGCGTACAAAAAGTACTACATTTGGTACCATTTCGCATCATGTGAACGGATAGGGCTTAAAACTTGAAATTTGTTATGTCAATCAAGGTTGAGGTGTAGGGTCAATATAGGGAGGTGGTTTTGGAAGTGTGTGTTTATGCATACGAAAAGTACTTATTTCTACTAAATTTGGTACAATTTGAATTTAGGTAAACCGATAAAGCTGGAATTCTGAAATTTAGAAATAAGAATGCTATTACATTGTAGGAAGGAGGTTTGTAGGAAGTTTTGGAAATAAGTACTTATGTGTACTGCATGGTACTAAATTTGGTAAAATTCGAGAAATTTGGAGAAACGGATGGAGCTTGAATCCAGAAATTTGAAATTAACATTACTGGTGGAGTGTAAGATTGGGATATGGATGTAATTTTCGAAATTTGTACTTATGTGTACGAAAAGTACTAAATGGTACAATTTCGATTTGTGTGAACCAATAGAACTGAAAAGCTGAAATTAAAAAAAAAAAATTCTATTAAATCTAGGAATGAAGTATGTACGTAGTTTTGTAGTTCATACTTATGTGTACTAAATAGTACTAAATTTCGTATAATTTGAATGTGGAGGAACGGATAGAGTTGAAATCCTGAAATTTGAAATTTACATTATTTGCGGACTGTAGGATTGGGATATGGAGGTAGTTTTGTAAATTTGTACTTTTGTGCACGAAAAGTACTAAATGCTACTGTATTGGGTACAATTTCGATTTGGGTAAAACGATAGACTTGGAATGCTGAAAGTTGGAAATAAGACTGCTATTGCACTGTAGGACAGAAGTATGTAGGTAGTTTTGGAAATTCGTACCTATGTGTACTAAATTGCAAAAAATTTTGTACAATTTAAATTTTGTCAGAACCAATAGAACTGTTATCCTGAAGTTTAGAAACAAGATTTCTTTTGGAATGTATGATGTAGGTAGTTATGGAAATTTGTACATATGCGTACTATATGGTACCAAATTTTGTATAATTTGGGTTTGGGTGAACCGATAGAACTGGAATCCTGAAATTTGGAATTAAGATAAGTGTTGGAGTGTAGGACTGAGGTATGTAGGTAGTTTTGGGAATTCGTACTTATGTGTACTAAAGGTTACTAAATTTGATACAATTTAAATTTTGAGAGAACCGATAGAGTTGGAATCCTACAATTTGGAAATAAGATTACTGTGTGAGTTTAGGATTGGGATATGGAGGTAGTTTTCGAAATGTGTACTTAGGTGCACGAAAAAATACTAAATGGTACAAAATTTGGCACAATTTTAATTTGGGTGAACCGATAGAGCTGGAATGCTGAAAGTTGGAAATAAGATTGCTATTGCATTGTAGGGCTGAGGTATATAGTAGTTTTGGAAATTCGTACTTATGAGTACTAAATGGTACTAAATTTGGTACAATTTATATTTTTAGAGAACCGGTAGAGTTTGATTCCTTCAATTTGGAAATATAATTACTGTGGGAGCTTAGGATTTGAATATGGAGGTACTAAATTTGCTACAATTCCGATTTGGATGAATCGATAGACTTGGAATGTTTAAAGTTGGACAAAAAGATTGATGTTGCACTGTGCGACTGAGGTATGTGGTAGTTTTGGAAATTCGTACTTATGTGCACTGAATGGAACTAAATTGGGTACAATTTAAATTTTGGGAGAGTCAGTAGAACTCATATCCTGAAATTGGGGAAAAAGATTACTGTGGGGGTTTAGGATTGGAATATGAAGGTAGTTTTGGAAATTTGTTCTTAGATGTATTAAATTTGGTAAAAGTTGAATGTGGGTGAACCAATAGAGCTGGAAACCTAAAATTTGGAATAAAGATTAGTGCCGGAGTGTAGGATTGGTGTATGTAGGAAGTTTTGGTTACCGATATGGCTGAAATCCTGAAAATGGGAAATAAGATTTCTATTGGATTGTATGATGTAGGTTGTTATGGAAATGTGTACTTCTGTGTACTGAAATAAATGTTACTATATTTTGTACAAATTTGAGTTGAGGGTAACAGATAAAATAAAAGATGGAATTCAGAAATTTGGAAATACGGTTTTTAGGGGATTGTATGATTGATATATGTAGTTTTGGAAATTCGGAGTATAGGATTGAGGTATGTGGGAAGTTTTGGAGATTCACACTTATGTGTATTATTTGGTTCGTAAAATTTGGAACTAGAATTACTGCTCAAATGCACGATTGGGGTATGTATTAAAGAGTACGAATGTTTTGGAAATGCGTCCTATATTTGTACGAAATGGTACTAAATTTGTTATTGGGTGAGAGGAGACGGCTAAAATCCTTAAAGTTGATACTGAGAACTCTGATGGTGTCTAGAATTGAGATACAGAAGTGCTTCCGGAAATGTGAAATTAGGTAAACACTTGAAATCTGAAATTTGGTATTGGAGTCTTTATTCATGTGTAGTCTAGTGGTTTCGGGGATATGTAGTATAATTGTACGAAAAGTACTAAATGGTACTAAAATTAAAATTGGGTGAAGGAATATGGCTTGAATCCTTAAATTTGCTATGGAGGTCTCTGTTGGTATCAAGAATTGAGAAATGGAGGTGGTTTCGGAAATGTGTACTATTAGTGTACGAAAAGTACCAAATAGTTCTATATTTGGTACAATTTGGTATTGGGTCAACAGAAAGTGCTTGAAATCTGATTTTGGGTTTACACATGGAGGCATTGAAATAGTTTTAGGCAGAAAAATTGAATGTGGGTCCATTGTGGCTTTACAAATATCTTCCTTGGTAAAGTCAAAATGAGAGATTTTGAAGACTTTTTGGTGTAAAAGGTAAACATTTTCCAAGTTTTCTTTCCGGTTTCCTGTTAAAGTGGTTATCAAAGTGGCAAATACAAAGGCAAAAAAAAGTTAAAAAAGCAGCTAATTTCAACAGGGCCTTACTTTTAATACCCTCCACCATTTGAGGGATCTTGAATAATTTAAAAAATCCGCCGTAAAATACCACTTTAATAAAAACCGCTATATAAGAGATATACGAAGATGTCGACCTGCATAAGTAATGTTTTATTATAGACTGCAGTATCGATTCCGAACTTCAAATACGAAATCTGAAACAATTCCGTTGAATAATGTCGCTTATGTCAATAAATTTGTAAAATCATCACAATACCGCATAAAGAGAGGTACCGTTATATGTTGGCTATACGAAGACGGGGGCCTGCATAGATAAATTTCTGGCATTTTCTAGTAATCATTATGAGCTTCAAACTTTAAATACGACATTTGAAACAATTCCTGTCAAAAGTGTCGCTAAAATCATCAAAATACCGAATATCGGGGGTATCGTTATATAGGGGCTATACGATATCGTGGACCTTTATAAACAATTCTTTTTCAGGGGGTAAAGTACTCAGAAACAACTCCTGGAGTAGATTTTCAGACAATGCCATTGAAAAATTTGGCTACAATCATCAAAATACCGAATATTGGGAGGTACCGTTATATAGGGGATATGCGATATCGTGAACCCATACAGACAATTCTTTTACAGATTTAAAGTACACACAAAGAACTCCTTGTGTAGAATTTCAGACAATTCCATTGGAAAATGTGGTTAAAATCATCAAAATGCCGAATATCGGGGGGTATCGTTATATGGAGGACATACGATATCATGGTCCGATATAGCCCATCTCCGAACTTGACCTGCTTGAACACAAAAGACTTATCTGTGCAAAATTTTAGCTTCCTAGTTTTATTCAGTTTGACTCTAGCGGTATTACAAATTAAAGCTCTTTTGAATGTTGTGGTTAAAATTTTCAAATTAGAGAAAATCAGAAGATGCCATCATACGGATGGCCTACACTGATGTTTGTCTTCCTTGTGACCTCTGACAGAATGACAAATTTAATATATCCAACATTTGATGGTGGAAGGCTATATAAATCTACAGTGATAACATAAAAAAATCCTTTAAAAATATTAGAAAAAATGCTTTTCTCCCCCTATCAGATTCGAATTAAATAAATTTCCCGGAAATGCCAATAAAACACATTTGCTCATTTTCGCATTTATGCTAACTACTCAACATTGTTTTTATTATTATTTCAAATCGGATTTTCCGCATAACGACCCTAAGCAAATAAATCCCTTAATATTTATATTTCATTGATTCCAAGAATTTAATATTAACAAAACAAACAAATAAAACATTACCAAGTGTCATCAATAGTCATGAAGACAA